TGGCCACAACACCCAGCCTAATTTTTCCTACCTGCTATTTTACCTCATCCAGCTGCCCTGTAATATCTTTCTTGAAATAAGCATTTTGGAGCACTCTGAAGCCTGTCACATATTTGTGTCTTTTGAGTTGGTCCTACTAAAGGTATTACCCAACTCTTGGGGTGTGTGTGTGTGTGTGTGTGTGTGTGTGTGTGTCCGTCCATAATAGCAATAATGCCACTTGCCAGCAAAGCAGCATTTATGACTCTGTAGTTTGAAGAATTTCAACTTTTTCTTCAACAAAAATGCTGCACTTACCTTTTTGTCGTTCTTATATGTGCTTTAAAAGTGGTAATACACCTTTTGGCTCCCTGGTCCCAAATGCATTACTTGGAAAAGCTTTCAAGTGCTGTTTTTTCCCACCTTCCCCTTTTCTTTTTTTAGGTTTGGGGCATTAGTAATTGTCTGAAGCTGTTCTCCTGTGCCAACTCTTTTCAGAAGTATGTATCATTGCCGTTTATCTGTCTTTGCAAGTCCTGATAATCAGCTTTTGCACATCGCACCAAAATGCTTCCACTTAGTAGAAAGGACACAATTGAATTATAAATGTGATTTCTCACAGCTAGAAGCACTTCATTTTCTGATTTCATCAGCCAATTAAGGATACAGATGAGGGTCTAGGATGTTTTATTTACTGAATAGTGCTCTTTCATTTGAGTCCTACAAAGCACTTGAGAGCGTCTCAGTTATATTAAGACGGCAGTCTGTAGGCACACTTGCTTGGAATGAAAATCCCATTTAACTTGGTTGATTTTTGTGTCTGTATAGGATCAGACTGCAAAAGTATGAACTGGACTGCAATTCTACAGCAGGAGTGAGGAATCTCCAGCTTTCATCAGCCCCAACCTGCATGGCCAAAGGCAATGGATGATGGGAATTGTACTGCAGCAGTTTCCCCAGTCCTGTTCTACTTATAGCTTAGTCCTGTGGTGTAATAGGAAGAGCTTTGGTCTTAGGGAAGGAAGATCCAGGTTCACATCTGGTATCCACCAAGAATCTAACCGTCTGATCCTGAATCACTCTCCCCTATCCCTTAACCCTTACATAGGGTTGTTGTGAAGATAAAATACAGAGCATGGACGGGGAACTGGTCTCCTGCTACATGTTCTTGGATTTCTGCACTTATCATCCCTGACTGTTGCCCACATCTGGAGGGCCTTGCAGGTACTCCATCACAACTATATAGCAGGAACTACATACATTTTCCTGAGGTTCTTCAAGGAAAGGCATAAATAAACACATGTGTGCTCAGAAGAGGCTCCCAGTGAGCTCTGTATGAATTACGTCTCAGAAAATGTGCCCAGAATTGCAGTTTTTATGAAGGAAACTCTTGACTGCAACCCAAGGATTCTCTTTGCAGACGCATAAGGAAACTGCACGCAATCAAAGTTTGCTTTCCACTTTTTATATCAGTACAACTGAGAGAAATAGTTTCAACAGGAGTTTGCGTCTTAAGCTGTGGATGCAGCAGCAATGGCTGCAGAAGTTGTTCCTTGATACATAAAATGTTCCATTGGTGAGGTTTGCTCTTGTTATGAGCACTTTGCTTTTGCAAGATGAAATATTCCATGTCATCTTTGAAATGATTTTTGGATAAATAAGGACAAACAGAAATCATACCCTCCAATATTTCTCAGATGAAAATAGGGACACCGAACAGCTCAATGTCAGAGTTGACTGTATCATTCCAGACCCAAGTTTCTGCACCGGGCAGGGAGTGGGGGTGGAAGAAAGGAGAGGGTATATCTAGGGGAAGTTTCAATACCTTTAAAGGGGCAGACATGCACTCAGGTGGGCTTGGTTTTCATGGTGGTGTTTGCCTGCCTTTGGAACAAGGAAATCAGGAATTGGGACTAGTGCGTCAAGTATTTTCACTCAAGGGAATTTCCTATGCAAATAAGTTTACTGCAATGAATGTGTTTGCAGTTGCATCTTCCGCTCACAGTAAACATCAGGCCAAAGGTCAACATAATTTTGTTGGATGCTTATGGGAAGCCCACAAAGAGGGCACAAGTTCACTAGGCCTCTCCCACGATCATTCCACTGTGACTGGTACTTAGAAGCATGATTCTGCCTTTTGGTTCTGGAAGGAGTTTAGTAGATAGCTATACAAGATGGTTCCTTGTTCTAAATCTGCAGTGCTATTATGGGTAGTTTATTTTGTTTTTTTTTAAAATGTATACAAATATATATACACAAATGGAGCACAGAGCCAACTCTTTCTTTCTTTCTTTCTTTCTTTCTTTCTTTCTTTCTTTCTTTCTTTCTTTCTTCTGGAAGAAGTAGATCAAGGAATCAACATGAAATATTGCCTTGGCTTGCACACATACTAAGCATTGGAGTTTGTGCAGATTCTTCTGTTGTGAGCGCAGGGACAAGTTCATTTATCACAATGGGTAGACACAAACTGCAACACGGCCACAAATATAAAAGACTTTGTATATTACTTGCTTTCATCTTTGCAAAGTTCCTCAAATATGCATAGCCCAATTTACAAGAACTTTGTAAACAAACTCCAAAATGTATTTTCATGTGCGTATTTGCCGAGGAGTTATAATTCATAAGTTTAAACTGGAGGAGACAGTTGTTATAGTGTACAATACTGGAATGGCTTTGTCTTCTTCTTTCAGATTTATGGGAAGCTATATAGAGACAAGGCACTTGTTTATGCAAAGAGTAAGGTTACCATAACTTCCATCATAGAGCTTCAGTATGCTGATGACAGCGTAGTGTGCGCACGCTCAGAGGATGACCTCCAAACCATCCTAAATATCTTTGTAGAAGCTTACGAAAAGCTTGGTCTATCACTCAACATCCCAAAAAACAAAGTCCTGCACCAACAAGTACAAAATAACCCTTCTGCAGCGCCACAAATCCAACTCAATGGTGTAACGTTGGAAAATGTCGATCACTTCTCCTACCTAGGCAGTTATCTTTCCACAAGGGCCAACATTGATGCTGAAATCCAGCATCGCCTGAGCTCTGCAAGTGCGACTTTCTCCCGACTGAAGTGCAGAGTGTTTGAGGACCGGGACATTCGAAGGGAAACCAAAATGCTTGTTTACAAAGCTATTGTACTACCAACCTTACTATATGCTTGTGAAACATGGACCACTTATAAACACCATCTCCAACTCTTTGAAATATTCCATCAATGGTGTCTCTGAAAATTTTTACACATCACTTGGGAAGACAGGCAAACTAATATCAGTGTACTGGAAGAAGCAAAGATCACCAGTGTTGAAGCAATGATTCTTCAACATCAACTTCATTGGACTGGTCATGTTGTGTGGATGCCTGATAATTGTCTTCCAAAGCAACTACTCTATTCCAAACTTAAAAATGGAAAGCGTAATGCTGATGGTCAACAAAAGACTGTCTCAAGGCAAATCTAAAAAAAAGGTAGTATAAACACTGACAACTGAGAAACACAGCGAGCACTCCTGTTGGAGAACAGCCTTTACCAAAGGTGTCATGGGCTTTGAAGACATTTGAACTCAGGACACAAGGGAGAAATGTGCTAAGAGGAAGGCACGCTTGGCAAATCCACACCATGATCAACTCCCGTCCGGAAACCAATGTCCCCACTGTGGAAGGACGTGTGGATCCAGAATTGGCCTCCACAGTCACTTACGGACTCATTGTTAAAACCGTGTTTATGGAAGACAATCTTACTCGGTTACGAATGATCGCCAAAGAGAAAGAAGAGAGTTATGCTATAAAGCTGCTCCTTAAGAACTAATGAGCTGCCCCTGGAAGGCTCAGTGTTATGCAGTTCCAAAGCCATACAAAACCAGTAGCAGCCAGCAACCTAGTTTATGTTAAGGTTGGGGGAGAAATTTGATTTGCTTGCATTTTAATGAGAAAACTACCTAATTTGCATTTCTTGAACCAATATGTGACTGAGAACCCATATATCCTTTGAAGTCTGTGCTTCTCTGAATATTGTGATGCAGTTCTCCAACCAAGTAATGTGTAAAAAATAAAATAAAAATGCATATGTTAGGGGGAAATGTGTATAAAAATGCTTTAGTGAAAATAATGTACAGAAAGCATTATATTGGGGGACATTGCTTGCAAAAAATTGAGCACATTTGCCAAAAATGTGTTTATAAGGAGGCATTGTCATCAAAATGCTGATGAATTTTCACCATGATTTGTAAAACAAAATGCAAATTGTTCTAGAAATATGGAGAATTGGATTTAAGATTGGAAAAATGAGGAACTTGAGAGCGACTGAAATTGGTAGACTCCTCAGTTGCTAATCAAGGTGAACCTGGATAGTTCTTTCAGGATTTTGCTCCCCTTTATAAGAAAACGCTAAGCGCTGTGCAATACAATCCTAAACATGCTTACTCAGAAGTAAGGACACAATAAATCCAAGGGAACTTGTCCTGGGCAAATGGGTGAAGGATTTGCATGGCCATTCAGTTCTAGAAGAGAGCTTGAAGATATCATCACCTGGAAGACGGGTGGTGGGGGGAAAAACCCAATAACATGGAAAGGTAGATCAAAGAGAGTGGTGGATGTTTACAAGGTGGCATGTCTGCACCAGCAATATAGTCTCTATCGTCAGTGGCTATGACCTCTGAAAGGACCCTGTGTGATCCAGGTCCCCTTAGGCCGCTTTTGTCCCCAGCATCACTGTAGTAGTCAAATGTGTTATGTGGTACTGGCCGGCAGAGCTGAGGAGTGCAGTGGCAGCAACTGACACCCTTCCCCCTTACTTCCCTCCCCTTGCTATGGGTCCTGCTGAGCCACTGTGAGGGGCCGGGCCACTGTCACCTCCTCTCCCTGTCCCCTGCTTCCCCACTCCCTTTTCCTGCTTGCGGGATTTTTCGGGACTCTGCGTGACATAGTGAGAAGCTGTGATGGCTTAAGAGTTTTCGTGATGGTCCTGGCATTGCCAGGGCAATTGGAGACTATACGTATCTCCAGAGCTTCAGACAGCAGTCTTTTCCTGGAGATGCTGTGGATCGAACATGAGACCTTCTGCATGCAAAATCAGGTGCTGTACCACTGAGCTACAGTTCATGCTCCTTTTCCCAGAGTGTCAGCAGGGCAATTCGTGACTTTCAGCCTCATTTGGCTAGGATGAGTACACTGACAGGAGCAGGTGTCCAAGGTGGGAAGAGAAGGAATGGCCCCTTTGATGCATTATCAGCTATTTTCATACAACCAACCCCTCACTTGTTTTCTGTTTGTTAAATACAGTGGTACTTCGTTCTGGAGGCCCGTTCGCAACATGAAAAGAACGCAACCCGCAGTGGCGTATCTGCGCATGTGCAGGTTGCGATCTGCCGCTTCTGCGCATGCGTGTGACGTCATTTTGCATGACTGCACATGTGTGAGTGGCGAAACCCGGAAGTAACCCTTTCTGGTACTTCAGGGTCACCGCGGAATGTAACCTGAAAGAACGTAACATGAAGCGGACGTAACATGAGGTATGACTGTACAGTGGTACCTCAAGTTACAGACGCTTTAGGTTACAGACTCTGCTAACCCAGAAATAGTACCTCGGGTTAAGAACGTTGCTTCAGGATGAGAACAGAAATCGTGTGGTGGCGGCATGACGGCAGCAGGAGGCCCCATTAGCTAAAGTGGTTCCTTAGGTTAAGAAAGGACCTCCAGAACGAATTAAGTTCTTAACCTGAGGGACCACTGTATGTGGAATAAAATAGTCCATGCTTATCCGTATGGTATACCAGCCACATCCAGTTCCGCAGTGTCTTAAAAGTCTCCAGAAGAACCATGAAATAAGTAAGCCATCACTTTAATGGCAGACGTATTCTTTCTTTGGGCCTGTCATAATAGGAAACCTTTTGCGAGTTGGTTTCAGCAGAGCGCCCGAGGCAAGTCTTCTTAGCATTTGACAAGCCGCCTTGGAACAAAAGCAAGAGGTTTTCCTTTTTTGTTCTCTATAAGCTAAAGGTGAGCACAGCAATCAAAGCATTAGCCCATGGACGCAAAGAGTCACAGTAACCACTCACACAAAAAAGCGAAGGTAAAAGGATCACGGACAAATTTCAAGATTTCTAATCAAGAGTTTCACTGGACAGAAATATGGAGCCAGCCAGAGTTTGCTGTTTTCTTTCTGGCTTCTCTTTCTGCCTAGCACTAATCCAGCTCAGCTTCTTTGGCAGCTTGCCTTCTCCCACTGCCAGTACATGATTTAGCTTGTGATCTCATATTTGCTGAATTAAAGCAGCCCGAAGCATCCTACAATGGCTGCACAGACTTGAGGGATGGCAGCTCCAATAGCAGAGTGAGGAGCAGATTTGGAGGAGGCGTGGAGGACCGTAAGCTCAGGCAGAGAACACATGGATGCAGAAGGTCCCCCAAGTTCAGTTGAAAAGATCAGGTAGCGGTTGATGTGAAAGACCTGGAGGCCCCAGAAAGCTGCCAGTGAGTAGAGTAGAGCAGACCATAGCAGCCTAAAATGATAGAAAGTCCAATCCATTTTTTATGTTGATTATGTACAAATATGATCAGCTGGCAGAGGACTTATCTGAAGAATGTCAGGAAATGCCCCTGTCTTTACAGGGACAAATTCCCATGTTTCTTAACAGCTCGGTACCTAAGTACCTAAAGGAGTGGCTTCTCCAAGATTAACCATCTCAGGCTCTACAGATGACAGGGGAGGCCCTGTTGGTCATACTGACTCTGCCTGCTGCCTGATTGGTGTTGACCCATGACAGGGCCTTTTGGGTGGTGATTCCCCATTTGTGGAATGCCTGTCCCTCTGCTGAGGTGCATTTGTCTCCCTCATTACTGAGCTTCAGGAGAAATGTAAAAACTTTCCTGTTTACCCAAATATTTGATGGCTGAGAGATATTGGTCAGGGTTACCGTGACATTAATAACTTTAAGGGTATGTGATTGTTTCTAAATATTTTCAGATGTTCTAAATATTTTAAGATTTTCAATAGGTTTAGATAAATTGATTTTCAATTGTATTGTTTTAACATTTAGCTGCTTGTAATCTTGGTGTCCTTTGGGAGGAAGGGCTAAGGGCTGCCATACATCTGGAATTTCCTGGACATAGCCAAGATTTGTCTGTCAAAAATGGCGTCCGGGCTCAACAACTTTGTCAAAAAAAAGCTCAACACGTTTTGTGTCCGGATTTTCACTTTTTTAAATATGGCATCCCTAACTAAGTAAACCTCCACTTAGCTTTGAATTTGGAGTATGGGAAGGTATAAGGAAGAATGCATGTTTTTGTTTTTTCTATAAAAAACCTGGGTTTTCCAATATCTGGATTTTCAGATATAGCTCAAATATACAATCAGTTAAGGAAAGCAACTACACCTAGGAACAGAATCCTCATATGAAGGATGGTACAGAAATTTAATTACTTAATTTAATAATAATAATAGACTCTGCTCAATTGTTAAGATGTAAAATCCGTTCTTCCTCAAACTACAGAGTAGGATGAGAACTACTGACAAGTTTATGGTCTGTTATGTAAGAGGTCAGACTTGATATGCTAATTGTTCCTTCATCTTGCTTCTGATCTGTCAGACTTCATCATCCTTGATTGTCTCTGTTGTACCCATTTGCAACAACTAGGCTGGTATTGTCTAATGCAAAATTTAGTAGATTTATCCGAATGTATCGTGATGCACAGCATCCTTCACCATGGGTCTTCTGTTCCGACAGGGAAAACTGATATTTTGCATGGTATCTTCACGTTGAAAGCAATGATAGTCACATTCCGTTATCATGCATGTGTTACAGTGGGCATTCTACTGCAATGCAGTCCACCGAAAGGCCATCCATTCAAAACATCTCCTACTGCAGTTTAGCCTTTACCAGACAGCCCAATGAGAGCTACTGGCCCCAACACCCTGAGCAAACTGTTGTTCCCAGGCTGCTCCAGGGGATGTCATGTACTTTAAGTGTATGGTGCAGGTGTGATTTTAGTCTAAAAGCTAAGCTTGTGTCAATATTGACCCTACTTTTTTGTGTACTATTCTGCTTTGCATTATTCTTCATATGCCCCTTCTTGCTTTGTGTAACATCTTGCTTGATGAAGGGTTCTGGAGAACTCAAAAACTGGACACTATTTTGTGATTGGTCCTAATAAAGGTATTGTCCAGCTGTGGATGATCCAACAGCCGTGTGCAAAACTTGCGCAGAATTATATGGAATTCCCTCTGGCCTTGAAACGGCACGTTGTAATTTGAGCTACCGGAAATGCCATCACCCAGAAGCGAGTATTTCTGAATGTAAGATCTTTGGTTTCCATGCAACAGAAGTTCAACTGTGCATTTCTTGCACAAGTAAATCGATCATCCAGAAAGACCATAAGACAATTTCTATGATAACGGAAGTCAGTCCAGTGCACAGTAAGCAAAAATGCCAACCAATTCTCCAGGGGGATTTTACATACAAGCCATTTATTCTTATAGTGCAAATAAAAATTAGCCCTTCCTCAGGTTCTTCATTGGCCCATTTGAAGGTTGCGATGTTTAATTAGAAACATCAATAATCTTCTCAGCAGGGAGCGTGCTTGCAACTTGTACCTTTGATACTACTTGTGGCAAAGAGAAAGCACCAATATCATTAAGGTTAATAACCTAGCAGTTTACCAGTGTAGCTCTGTGTCTTAATTTGAATTGATTATCTGAGCAGATTCATTTGGGAAAGGAGGCTAACTGCATCCAACTCATTGGTTCATGAAACCTGAGACTAATGCATTTCCTGTTCGTTGCTGATGGTGCAAATACTTACGAAGCAGTTTGCTACCACTGGAGCGGAAACCAGTTTGCCCCCATAAATCTCCTTGCCGGAGGTATCCAACATTGTATGCTGGTGTTTGATATCCAGCTGCATCTCCTATCTGAACCAGGTCAGGGCCAAGTGCCCCCATTCCCAGAAAGCTGCCCTCCTTCTTTGCATTTGTCACATTGAGGATTGCCAACAACCTTTGGCAGGAGCATTTTAGTGCAGGATTTTATCCATCTCCGTGCTGCGAAAAAGCTTCACCAAGGAGATCATCTCAAACTGCAGTTAAAGGCAAGAGGAACATCCCAGTCTATTTATTCCCCCATCCCATCCAGTCTGTTGACAATCCTAGGTAGATCACGCTGATGCAGTAATAGGAACAGACCCATAGCTCACCTGCAAGGGGGCTGCCATAAACAAGGTGGTTTCATGCCATGGGAAATAACAATAATCAGTAATATCCAAAGGCAACACGATGACCAAGTACAACAATGCGATGTCAATATAAACTCTTTTTATAATCTATACAGAACATAATCTCTAGAAAACATAAAGGTAAAGGGACCCCTGACTATTAGGTCCAGTCGTGGCCGACTCTTAGGTTGCGGTGCTCATCTCGCTTTATTGGCCAAGGGAGCCAGCGTACAGCTTCCGGGTCATGTGGCCAGCATGACTAAGCTGCTTCTGGCAAACCAGAGCAGTGCACGGAAATGCCATTTACCTCTTCGCCGGAGTGGTACCTATTTATCTACTTGCACTGGTGTGCAACCAAACTGCTAGGTTGGCAGGAGCAGGGACCGAGCAACGGGAGCTCACCCCGTCACGGGGATTCGAACCGCTGACCTTCTGATCGGCAAGTCCTAGGCTCTGTGGTTTAACCACAGAGCACCACCTGCGTCCCCTAGAAAACATATTGGACATCATAAAACAAAGCTTCATGGCTTGTTTTCTCCAGATAAGAATCTGATCCATTGCTTCTTTCAGAGACTTGCATTGCCCACAAAGACTTTCAGAGACCTATAGACTTATATTTATCTAGAAAACATAGAACCAAATAAATATAAGTCTATAGGTCTCTGAAAGTCTTTGTGGGCAATGCAAGTCTCTTATCTGGAGAAAACAAGCCGTGAAGCTTTGTTTTATGATGTCCAATGCTGCCGAAGTGGTCCGCAAACAGACGTAGTGAACAGTGATTCCGGATATACCCACTGCTTCATGGAATTCTTTGTGGGAAATAACAAAGCAAAGATCCAAAGGCAGCCTTGTGACTCAAGGAAAACACCAACTCAAAGAATGACTATATCTTAGGGAACTGCAACACCACATGCTTCACCACTCTGGCAATAAAAATCAGGACAGTGGCCTCACATCTCTTTCCTAAAGCACAGAGAGCTTCTGCTTGGCTTAGGGAAGGAGGCACGACGATCCGACAGGGTGCAAGAACCTTCCCACCACTTTCCCAAAACTGGGCAAGCACTTGCCAGCTTTGGGAAGGATACAGAAGGGTTCAAGTATCATGACAGAGCCCTGGCACCTCCTTCCCAAAGCCTGGGAAGCTTCTGCCCAGCTGACAGAGGGAGGTGCTTGGCGTTCGTACGGAGCCCCCAGTCGTCTCACGGACTATTGACCCGTACACCACTAATCTGCTGCCACCAACCAGGTCCTCCCTGGTAAAATCACTTCAGTCTCAGTCAGCTTCTCAATTAATAAAGAAGAGTGTATTTTATTTCAGACACAAACAAACTTTTACAGTATTCCAAACGTGGTTGCTTTTTACTTTCTTAGTCTTATTTTCTTCTTTCTATCTCTGCTACCACCCCACACTCAAGGACCAACTGCCCTAACTGTCTCACTATTACCAACTGCCTTTCCCAACCAGCCAACCCACTAAAACCAACCAACTACCCACCAACAACTCCCAATGAACTCCTCCCCGAACTCCTCCCAGAACTGGTTTTCTAGTCTCCCTGACTCCACCCCCCCGGGTCCTGACAGGGCAACCTGTTTAACTATTTCCCCTCCAGCACTCTCTCATATATGTTAACGTCACAGGTGCAATGCTCCGACGAGGTCCAGGAGCCCTCCGGCCATCTTCCCAAAGCCTTGTAACTGCTGGCTGGTTTTGGTAAGGTGGCAGGAGGGCTCCAGGAGCCTGTCAGAGGCTCACAGCTTCTTCCCAAAGGCCGAGAAGAGCTCCTTTACAATGCCGCTGCAGAAGCTACTTCCGCAAGCCCTGTCCGCAGGTGGTGAAATCAGGGCGCCCTGGGATGAAGACCTTCAAAGAAAGTATGGTTGTCTCGGTTAAATCGGGATCCTTGGGAGGTGTGCAGCATTTGAGGTCCAGGGAGAGGGGCAGGGGAGGCAAACAGCTGAGCACCAACAGGAATAACATGCTGAGAATGTGGATCAGAGTGACCTAATGCACAGGCCAGGAGCTTCAGGCTTTTTGCAGATGCGGTGCATGCCTAATAGAATGAGACTCCCAGCTCTCAGAGCAATATCTCTGCCATTGTCTTAAGGACTGCTATAACCTTCCCAACCTGGTACCTTCCATGTGTTTTGGACTCCCATTCCCATGAGCCTCAACCAGCACAGCCATAGAAGGCTGATTCGCTGGTTTGTTCATTCACCTTTTCCCTCAAGGCAGAGGAGGATGCCTGATTTGATCTCATTCTTCAGTTGCGTCTTCTCATTGGCCCCTCAAATGCACAGTGTGGAAGACACAGCCAGTGTGGCCTGGTGGTTAGAGTCATGGATTATGACTGAGGAGACCAGGGTTCAGATCTCCATTCTGCCATGAAGCTGACTAAGTAGTCTTGGGTAAGTGACTCTCTTCAGCCAAACTTACCTCATAGGGTTGCTCTGAGGATAAAAGAAATCTTGTATGGTATCCTGAGTTCCTTGAAGGAAAGACTGTATTTTTTATTTAAAAAACACACATAATCAATAAAATATTAGTACCAGTATATGATTTTGGGCAAAGGTAGAGCCACTCATTTTGTCATTTATTTATTTGATATCATACCTGATACCATTCTGTGCTTAACAGCCATCTCTTTTTCAGTTTCCAAATCACCTCTGGGATTTCAAAAGGCTGTTTGGTGACCTGCTTCTTGTACCATATTTAAATTATAGCAATTAAAATGCCCCAATCACTAGGTAAAGTCCCCATGATGCTGAAAGTTGTCTTAATGTTATTGTTCCCAAGATTATACAGAAAGCCTGCCAGCGCAAGGCACCCTAATTATCTCTCGGAAGGTGCAGAGGGCGTCATATGCAGGGACCATGGCTTTCTGAGACGGATCGTTTGCAGTCATAGAACGGGATTTTAAAAGCACAGCAAATGCAATTTTAACACTTGATGGGTGGCCCTGTAATTCCATCAAAGGTTCAATATCTCCCTCGGAGGCCGTACTGTGATGAGCTGAAACTGTTCTTCCATGGCCTATATGCACATAGGAAAGCCCACAACATGGAAGGAAGCCCCACATATTTGAAAGGAGGCTACATTTGCAGTCGGTTGCTGCCAGTCAAATAGTTGTCACACGTATTAATGCTTTGGCATCTTTCACAAGTTTTTCTCCCTCCATCACAGCTCCTTCTTCACTCCAGCCATTACAGTTTCTCTAACTGTTGGTGAGTCTAATAGGTTTATGTTTGCAACATGCAGCCCATTGTGTGTGTGTGTGTTTGTGTTTTAAAGACAGGAAGAATGGGCACTTCTGGGAAGAGGTATAAGTTGTTCAACCACCCTGAAAATTGTAGCTTCGTGAGGGGAACAACTCTCAGCGCCATTAACAAATGACAGTTCCCAGGATTCCTTGGAGCATGACTGCTTTAATTGGTATATTACTGCTTTGAATATATGGTATGTGTTATGTACTGAGTTGAATAGGATCCAAACTGCAGCAGTCTGATTGGTCCTAGAACAATAGGATCCAAAATGCAGCAGTCTGATTGGTCCTAGAACAATAGGATTCAGAATGCAGCAGTCTGATTGGTCCTAGAACAATGCAGCAGTAAGATTGGTTGGCAGGAACCACCCAATCCTGCTCCAGATATAAGTGAATCCACAACCTGATTGGCTTACAGCAGAATTCCGGAATTAGCCAATCATGTGCAGCCCATTGTGTAAATAATGTATATAAAGCAGATACTGTGAGGGGACTTCTATTCATTCCTCCTCACCACTATGAGCTGAATAAAGAGCATGAAATCACTTTGCGACTCTGAGTATATTTCAGTATGGATGCGGCCTAGGTCTTGCTCTTGCTCTTGCCAAACCTGCTTCAAGTTGCAAGGTTACTCAGCTGGGCAATGTGGCCGGGGGGCGGGGGGATGGGGGAGAGAATTGAGTGCCGATACGGTGTTCAATCTCAGTGTGTGCCTAAGGCAGCCTACTTTCTTGGAGATTCTTCTGCCTTTTGAAAGAAAAGGGCAAAAATCAATTGGGGGAAAAATAAAATAAAATTCCCAGTATTCTTCTTTAAAAATGTGAACAGCACTTCACAACCAGAACATAACGTATTTTAGATTACAGAGCACAATTGCAAATGTCAGGAAGCTGCTGACCCCTCCCTGGGGGCTTTGTGTTTTGTGTGTGTGTGTGTGTGTTTAGAACGACTCAAAACAGATCTCAAGGACATGTTTCATTGCCCTCTGTGTCAGCTGCAAGGGAAACAGCAACCTTGTGATATAAGGGAGTAATGAGAAGGTGGAAAAGTGGGAGGGAGCCGTAAGATTTCGTGAATGCTGTTTCACAAAAGCTTGTATAAAAGGACGCATACCCTCCAACATTCCTCAATGAAAATCAGGACATTTTCATCTGAGAAATATAAGGTGTTTCTGACTGGGGGAAGAGCCAGGGTGGGGTGCACTTTGTACATGCTCAGAGGCACTACTGACACCTCTTCATTACCTCACATGTTACCAGGCAGGACCCTAGCACTGGGCACCAGCCCTCCTTCTCTTCACACCCGTCCTCTTCCTCATCCGGATAGCCGCTCAAGACTCACCCACTACCACTGCTCATTCCAATCTGCACCACGGCCCTTTAAAATTCATGCCTCCTCTGCCTCTGGCTCCCAGTGGTGTCTTGGTGAATGACACCATCAGGCTGTGCCACCAAACTCGGAGCTGCCTGCCATGTTGAGAGGAACAGAGAGGTAAGGATCCATGTGGATCAGATCTGAAGCTCCTACCTTGAAGTGTCTAGTCCACTGTGTGGCCAGCAGGTGAGTCTTGGGCTTTGCATGGCTTCCACGATGTGCCACCACCATCTCGCTCTATCTCACTGCTGAGGCGGCACTGGGGGGAGGCAAACCTTGAAATTGGGACACCCAGATTTCAAGTCAGAAGCTGTGATGGCTTTACCAATTATGGGACTGCCCTGGTAAAATCAGGGCAGCTGAGGGGTATGAGGATGGAGCCTATGATTCTATGAAACACCTCGGATGGAAGAATACCAAAAAGACCCGATACTTGCAGGGAATGTTGGCCTATTAGGGCAGATGTGGCCCTGCTCCACCATGTTCACTCAGTCTGCCCTGAGCCAGCCACCACCAGAAATCCCCAGTGGTGAGCCCATAATAGGAAGTTTGTGGAACACAAGGGAAATAGGGACAGGAAGCAGGATAAAGGAGAAACACAGGGCAGGCTCCCACTGATGAATAGGGTGTATGAGCTCTCATGGCAACTGCCTCACTCAGAATACTCTGATGTTAAGAGTGGCACTCTGGGAATTTTCAGCAAGGTGAGAGATGATGAATCAACAGGAAAAGTACACACTGTTAAACCAATGACTTCCCATCAATGTGTGTTTTTTTAAAAAAAATAACTGATGCATAAATGTGGCAAATCGAACGTAAGATTGGAATATTGAGAAACCCAAATCAATGAGATTCACCCACCTCTACTTCTGAGTAGACCAGCCTCAGACTGCATTGACAGCTTTCTGCCTCTGTGGATTCGCTCCGGCAAAGGGGGAGATGATAGTAAGGGGCAAGGAATCCTGGCCACACTTTCTTCCTGAAGAGGTGAAATGATATTGCCAGAGGGTGTTCATGGTAGTGCAATTGCAAATAAGCCCTTTGGAAATCCCAGGAC